GCAGGTGCTGATAGAAGTTGACCGTCGGACACCATTTTCTGGATAACATCCTGTGCGTCTTGTTTGCCAAAGGGAAAAGCATACTTTGCCTTCGCAGTCTTCAGCTGGGCAACTGTGAACCAGNNTTGTGCTCTTCTTTGTGCCCATCGATTGTGGTCTTGACCACGGACGCTTGATCTTTCGCAGGGGCACCAGTAGCCGCAGATGGGTCTGTGGGCTTGTTGACCAAGGCATCCAGTGTTTCTTGCACGTCGTCAACCTGCACATTTTCATTTGGCACTAAACCGCAACTTCGTCGGACGGTCGCCATAGTCAACCCACCATCCCCACCACGGACGACGTACTTCTCTAGTACATCACGGCATTGTTCCGCTGTCCGACTCCGTGCGTAGTTCCAGATGCATCGCAGTGTGACTAGACAAACTGGCTTCTCTCTGAGGAAGTCTTTCAACGTGGGATCCCGTGGAAATATTCCATGAGATGCAGCCAACTCCTCCCGGCCGGAGATGCGAGCGGCATCGACGAAGGTACTCTTGTATGCACACACCGCGGTTCTTCTGAAGATGGAATTGATATTCTCCTCTGTTACCCCAACGAACCTGACCGCGACAAGGTATCATAATGATATCGTTTCATGCAACGCAATGACACGAGAAATCAATCACGAATGCTACACTGCATCTGCCGAGTAACTTCGGAACTGAGTTCAGTTCGAACCTCTTCCAGCCGCGGAGCTCCACGAGCGCAGTGTGTATAGCAAACGGGAGGCGCTCAGGGACTTTGTCTGCGGAGATATGCTTCTTATATATATCCTCCCGCATGGGACGTCGCGAGCCCTGTACGCTTTCTTGCCCGGTCACCACAATTTTGCCGACAAGGTTAGCCGCCTGCTTGCGCATCTCCTGGCATACTTCAGTTGTCGACTGTGGCTACTAACTTACCCACTTCTGTTTAACAAGACCGACATATTCCACTGTACACACCTGCATGCCCGCCTCGTCCACGAAGTAAATGTTCATGTCCAGGCAAGTGTGATACTCACCCAGAATGGCTTCGATGTGAGCCGTCTGTAGACTCTGACCCACCCCGCCGGAGCCAATACCCCAGAAGGCTCGATCAACATTTTCTCCGCGCAAGGCTAAAGTGAGTGAAGCCATAAAAACCTCAAAAGCCTCGAGGTTGCCCCAGTATGTGGTTCGCCAGAAGCGATGAAGCCTTTCCTTGACTTCATCTGCCACGGGATCCAGCATTCGGTGAGGCAAATAGACGTAGATGTTATGTGCGNNGGTTCCTCGCAACTGCTTTGAGGCCCGTCGGCACGAAAAGGAAACAGGCATCCATCGTGCAGAAGCCACCGGACGGCTGGATGTCCAGAGAACACCATGCGATATAGTACTTGATCAAAGAATCGTTCAACAGTGAAGTCTGCCTAAGTGGATTCATGTGTATCAGTCTAATGTATGATGCACAGACATGATTCGATGTCGTTCAATGCAGTTAAGTGACAGCTTCACGTATAGTTTGCCGATGGTGTTGGCCATGGCGAGCGTCCAGTGCATGCTGCCGTTCGCTCGCTGTTCTTGATCATCCTCGTCTCCATGACTGCTGGTCTTGTTCTTGACTGGCAGGCGGCATATCGCTGCCTCTTCGCAAGCCGCAAAAAGAATGTCAGGCCTGTTCGAATGCCTCTCCAACAACCCCTGCGCGGCTGTCAGTATCCCGTCATTGTCCCTCGTGACATTAGGACCAAACAATGCATAGAGGCCTTCGAGCTGAAGAAGAAAATTTTTGCATCTGGCCAGAGTGCCTTCTGGCACGACGCCT